TGTACCTCTCGGTGCCTTCCAGAGGCAGCTGCGACCCCGCCGAGTGGACAGCGTCACACAGCAGGTGGCGCGGTGTGCCGCCGTCCACTCGGCAGGGTCGCAGCTGCCTCTGCGCGTCCTGGGTATGTACCTTTGTCGCGCGCCGGAGACGACTCGACGCCGCTGAGATCGGAGATCAAGCTCTGACAGATCGCACGTCGCTCCTTTGACGCCGACGTGACTCACCCGTGCAGATCACATCAGGACACGGTCTCGACACGCTCGGTACGACGCCTGCGACCCGTCTTGGGTCAGGTGGCACGACGCTCATCGCGCCTACCAGCGCTGCCGTACAGGTTGCCACGACGAGGTCGAGCACGCTTCTATACGCTCGCCCAGCCTTCCTTTCCACCCCATTAGGCAGCCTGGGAACGGTGGCGGTCAGAGGCAAAGCCTGCGAGGGGCGGTGGAACCACATGTCGCGGCTACTGCCGGCTCGACCCCACGATAGCCTCCGGAGGCTGACTTTGAGGCACAATCATCGGACGATGTCGACGAGTTGGGTCGCTCTCGCGGTAGCCAGGTAGCCCTCCATACTAGTAGCACCAGCCATGGCCTCAGGGAGCGGGCGAGGGCGCTGGGAGCAATACGGACCAAAAAACATCTCAAAAGTCAATACATTATGATATGGATTATGACACCACAGGCTCGACGGTCTCGAGTTCGGGTGCTGCTTCGCGCAGCGAACGCGTAGCGCGCGCGTGTGTGCGCCTGCGCCAAGCCGAGCCGAGGCCGAGGCCGAGGCCGAGGCGGCGGCGGCAGCGGTGGCGGCGGCGGCTCCGAACTTTTGGTAGCGGTCGTCAAGGTTGCAAGCGGCGACGCCGGCAATAGCCGGCTCGGGTGAGCGCGGGGCGCCGGTCCAGCAGCAGAGCATCCACCAGGGGGGTGCAGGATTTGTTGGAGGCAGAGCCTCAACAACAAGCCTGCATGTGCCGGGCAGAAGCAGTCCGGCGGCCTCGAGGGTACGAAGGTCGGGGAATTCGTCCACCTCACGAAGGCTCCATGTCGGTGTATTCACACCGGCCAAGAGCGGGAGCACCAGAGAGAAGGCAAAAGGCAACATAAGGCAGGATCTCTCTGGATGGGGGTACAACGAAGGGGGGAACAACCCACACCACACAAGAAGCCAAGCACAAAAGAATAACAAGACAGTGTACTCAGGCAGTCTCATGCGGAAGAGTCAGATATACAAAGGGCACCTAAAGGACAAGGCATACAGCTGTGAAGTGGTTTCCACTGACACAAATCCATGCTCCCGGTCAGCGTCGGCGTCGCGCTCGCCGCCGCCTCCACGTTGCGCTGGTCCTCGCTCGCCGTCGAGGCTGACGGGCAGCCGCTCCTGCAGCCGATGCACATTGAGGCTTCGCCCGGCCGGCTGCTCGGCATTCTGGGCCCTTCGGGCGCGGGCAAGAGCACGCTGCTCGGGGCGCTCGCCGGCCGTGCGCGGCCGCGGCTGCGCGTCTCGGGCTCTCGCGACGCAGCGGTCCCGCCGGGCGGCGAGGTCGGCGTGCTCGACCAGTCGGACGCCTTCTTCGGCCTGCTGACGGTGCGAGAGACGCTGGAGCTCACCGCGAGTCTGGAGGGGGCGGAGGCCGAAGAGGTCGACCTCCTCCTCGCCTCGCTCGGTATCGCGCCCGTGCAGCACTCGCGGGTCGGCGATTCGCTGCGCCGCGGCATCAGCGGCGGGGAGAAGCGGCGCCTCTCCCTCGGCTGCGCGCTGCTTGCGCACCCGCCGCTGCTCATCGCCGACGAGCCGACCACCGGACTTGACTCGCACCAGGCCGCGCGCGCCGTGCGGCTGCTTCGCGAGGCGGCGGCCTCGCGCGGCATCCCCGCCGTCGCCACGCTGCACCAGCCCCGCTCGAGCATCTGGGCGACAACGGCGGCGCCCTCCTCCTCCCAGGCACGGTCCATGAGCCCTGCCGCCCTTCTCTAGGCGATGCTCGACGACGTGCTCCTCCTCGCGCCGCGCGGCAGGCTCGTCTCCCATTGTATTATATTATCACATATGTTATATGCTCGCGCCGCGCGGCAGGCTCGTCTCCCATTGTATTATATTATCACATACATTGTATGATCGCGCCGCGCGGCAGGCTCGTCTTCCTCGGCGAGAGAGAGGCGGCACTCGGCCACTTTGCGCGACTCGGCTACACCCGTGCCCCTCGCCAGCCGGCCAGCCCCAGCCCGACACCCGGACCCGGGCCCGAGCTTCTGCCCTAGGCCACCCCTGCCCGCACCACGTCAACCCGGCGGAGTTCCTCATCGACCTCGTCTCGGTCGACCACGACTCGCCCGCCGCCGCAGCCGCCGACGAGGCGCGCATCGACGCGCTCGCTCGCGCGTGGAGGCGGAGAGAGGGCGGCGGGAGGCAGGCAGAGGGCGGCGGGAGGCAGGCAGAGGGCGGCGGGCCGCGACCGCGACACCGGGCTACGGCGGCGGAGGGTGGCGGTGCCGGTGCCGGTGGCGCCGCCCCCGAGCGCAGGCGACGGCCGAGGCTGCTGCGGCGCTTGGCGCTGCTGCTGCGCCGCTCGTGGAGGCAGAACTGGCGCGATCGGTGGGTGAACGGGCTGCGGCTCTGCGTGTCTGGAGGGCTTGCCCTCGTCTTTGGCGAGATCTTCGGCCGCTTCGGTGCCCCTTCCGCCGCCCAGATCGCCGAGCGTGTGGCGCTGCTCTCCTACGCGTCCATCAACATGTCGATGATGGCGATGATGAAGGCACGGGACCTCTTCGGCAGAGAGCGACGAGTGGAACCTTCTAGGAACCTTCTAGGAACCTTCTAGGCACTGGACCTCTTCGGCAGAGAGCGCGTCGTCATCGACCGCGAGCGCGCGCTGTACGGCGCCGCAAAGCACAACCTCCTCGCAAGGATGGCGAGGTGGGCCGAGGCGAGCCGAGATGTGCCCGAGATTAGGCGCCGCCGAGTACTTGCTCGCAAAGATGGCGACCGAGCTCCCCCTCGACGCAGCCTTCGCCGGCGGCTTCGGCCTCCTCCTCCACTGGCGCATCGGGCTGCGGCTGCCGCGCACGACGCTCGTCGGCACCGCACCGCACCTCGTATCGCCCACGAGAGCCACCACCCCCTGTGACCACCCCCCGTGAGAGGAAGAGTAGACTTCCTTCCATCGCAATGTGTGTGTGTGGGGGGGGGAGGGGCCGGCCCTCGCGCGTACTGCAGGCACCCTCAGCCCGACCTGTAGGCACCCTCAGCCTGGCCGCCGCCACGTGCGCTGCGCTGGGGCTCGCCATCGGGGCTCTCGCCCCCTCGGCCGACTTGGCGCTCGCTGCGGGCATCCCGGTGATGATTGTGCACATGGCGCTCCGCGCCGCCCACCCCGCCCCGCGCACAAGTGTGCCCAGCATCTCTTCACGCGCTCTCGCGTGGGCAGGTGCTCGGCATTCTCAACCCCGCCGGCACGGCAGAGACCAAGCCCCCTTCGGCCGCCGTCTCGCTCGCCTCGCACGCGTCGCCGATCAAGTGGTCGATCCGAGCGCTCTGCTGCGCCGAGCTGCGCGGGATGGAACTCGAGCGGCGCGCTTTCATTTGAGGCGCGCGCGCACATGGTGCGAGATCACCCGAGCTGACCCGAGAGTCTAATCGAGGTTAGGCGCTCGCTCAAGGAGGCGCCCCGCATGGGAGGCCTCGCGCTCGTCCGCTCCGGCGACGAGGTGCTCGAGCGGCTTGGCCTGAGCGGCTCCAGCTGCCGGCAGTGCTGCGGCCGACTCGGGCGGCTGCTTGCCGCGGAGCTCGCTCTCGCGTACGTCGGCTTGCGGCTGCAACGACCCAAGTACACCAGCATGGCTCAAGCCAGAGCGGAGGAGGAGCGAGAGAGAGGTGGAGTGGATGGGGCGTAGAGAGAGGCGCGCAGTGATGAGTTAAATCCCGCATTTACTTTTGGGAAAGGGACTACATCTTCCCATATATCTCGTGCAGCGAATTTCGCACACACTATATCCACCTATCAGAGTATCACCCCACAATACGTCGTCTATCTGGAATCTGCGGTCTGCGCCTACCACCGCGCTACCCCGTTCTCTGGTAGGACGGGAACGAGATGATAGTAGGGAGTAGAAGAAAGCAAAGAGGAGCCCTGCGCACGCACGACCCTCCGCAGGAGAAGCCCCTCCCAGACAAAACACAAGGGAGAGGTGGGTGGGTCACAGAAAAATTGCGGCCGCCAGCGACTGAGCGTCTCGCTGGCGGACGGGGAGAGGAACACAAAGGGACGTTCCGGACGTCCATCCACTGGGATGAGAATACTGGAGATCTGAGGTCGAATCTGCCGATTCCACAGCCGCCCAAAGGAGCGCCGCCTCAACACGGGGTCTCGGCTCTACCGAGCCATGCTAGCTCCAGCCGCAGCCCCACCCGGCCGCCCGGGGGTGTTCCCGCAGGCAGAGAAGACCAATCCTGGGGGAAGTAACCCTACCCCACTAGCACTACGGGTAGCCCATTCACGCGCTCCGTAGCTAATCAAAAATACGGTATCCGCCGTCCGCCGATTAGTTTCGTACCACCTTCGTATATCAATTTGTCCGTGCCCGTCCTGCGCCGGCACTTCCTCGAGCGCCGCGACTGCAAGTCCGCCCACTTCTCCCGTTGCTCGGCAATGAGATCGAGCGCGGCCTTCGCCTTCTTGAGCCGCCCCTCCCAGTGCTCGCGCTCCTTGGCGGCCTCGTTCGTTTCGTGTCTTTTGGGATCTTTCATATTTTGTTCGAATCCTATGGATCCTGGCACTCCCCACGCCGGAGCGGGAGCGGGTGCGGGTCTACTGTGCATCGTCACACAAGATACTCTAGCGACATACTCGATAGCGGTCCCGCCGTAGCTCGCGCATATGTACTCATTCTGCTCAGCCTCCCGCGAGCCGAGCAGTTGGCGGCCGCTGTGCCACCGTGTGCCGAGCCTCTGTGCCCAGCCAATCACCACGGCTCGCGCAGATGCCCATGGTGCCAGCCAACGTATCGATCGTAAGCCGGAAATGCTGTGCGGCAACACATCTCGCTTGTGTGCCGCACCAGCTCTCGGATGTCGGCCTCAGTGCCGCACTGCTCACTCCGTGCACTCACCGGTCGGTACCATGTCAGGAGACGGAACACGGAGGAGCTGTATAGGTCACTAGAGACCCACACCATCGCTACATCACCACAGCCACCAAGTCGGATACAAGTCCATGACAATGTGCGCGGCAGGACAAACCAAACATGAGACGGTTACACAAGGACGGTCAGGCTACGGTCAGGAAGTAGGGTTGAGTTCACACTCTCCAACAGCGTCACAGCGCAGGCCAGGTCTACACTGTCCAAAATCCTGCTCGTGCAGGTGTAATAGAAGAACTTGTCGCCGGTGTACTTGTCACAGAAGTTGGTGACGCCGGTGAATCCGTGCGGGAACGAGCGCGGAAACGGGTAGGAGCAATCGCTGGCAACGAGCTGGCCAAAGGAGGAGAGCGGCTCTCGTGCGCTGGCGGCTGGTGGAGGCGCAGCGAGCGTGCGTCGCACGGCACTGGAGGCGGGACGTTTCGGCGCACACAGTCTGCAGCCACGGCACTCGTGTGGGACATAGTTGCCGTTGACTTGTTTGCCTTGCCAAGTGACGTTGCTTGTGCGGCGAGGCGAGCGTGGCCGGCGTGGCAGAGGCGTGCGTGACACAAGAGGTTGTAGTCAGTGGTGACTGACGCAGCTACGTCGACACCGGTGGCGCAATCGATGGTTTCGTAGCAATCTTGTAGCATCGTTCGAAGCCGAGTGTGCCGAGAAGGTTGCTTCCCCCAGGATTAGTCTTCTCTACTGAGGGGACGAACTAAGGGCGGCTGGGCGGGGCTGCGGCCGGAGCTAGCATGGCTCGTCAGAGCCGAGACCCCGGCGAGGCGACGCTCCGATGGGCGGCTACCTAGCCAGTCGCGAGGTTCTAACCGCTGCAGATCGGCGACAAAGAAACTATGCGGGGAGATATTCGGCAGATATGTGTATCTCCCGATCTCATGCCGGTGATGGACACGCGGTGCGTCCCTTCTTGTGTTGCGTTTCGGACGTCCCGCCTTCGTTGAGTTCTCCCCGTCCGCCAGCGAGACGCTCAGTTGCTGGCGGCCGCAGTCTTTCACTTTCTGTGGCCCACCCACCTCTCCCTTGTGTTTTGTCTGGGGAGGGGTTTCTCCTGCGGAGTCGTGCGTGCGCGGGGCTCCTCTTTGCGAATACTCCCTACATACGTCTCGTACACTGACGTACCCGTAGTAGCCTACGGTAGTATTCTAGTAAAGCCGTACGCGGTTGTACGGCCCTCTTTACCAGAGAACGATTGGTGGTGTCTGGTGAACGTGTCGTTGCGCGTGTAGGAATTAGGTTGAGGAGGGAAACTGCATAATTCCTATAGTATCGGTAGCACGCTAACGGCACACAATTCTATACCCGAGGTCACAGTTGTCAGGTCACAGCAAGATACCCCAGACAGAGGAAACCCAAACCGGGCCGCCGGGGACGAGAAGCAGAAGGCTACTCTAACTCGCCGGCGCCTACTCCGAGCTCGGCATGGTGCGCTGCTTTTCGGCAAGGAGCTTCTTCCTCGCCGCACAAGCCTGCGCGCAAGTGTTGCTCATGTAGACGGGATTCTTCTCGCACTCTCCCGAGTCGGACCAACCCTTGCAGCGCTTGTCCTCCTTCCCAGACTCCTCCGAGACCGCCGCTGGCGCCGCCTTCGCCGCATTTGCCGCCGGCTCGGGCGAGGCTGATCCCTGCGACGCCGCTTCCTGCCCCGGCTCCGCCACCTCCGCCACCTTCTCTGCGGCGGGCGTTGCCTGCGGCTTGCCCCTCCCCAGCTCCGCGCACGCGTCCGCGCAATGGTGGTGCATGAAGCCTGGGTTCTTTTCGCACTCGCCGCCCCTCGCCCACGCTGCGCACCGCCGGTCAGGCTTCTGGTCCGCCTTCTGGGGCTCCGCCGCCTCCGCAGCTCCGGCGGCCGCCGCCGCTCGGCCCGTCTTCGCCGCCTCCGCTTCAATCGCCTGCGCCGCAGCCTCCGCCCGCGCAGCCTCCGCCCGAGCCGCCTCCGCCCGAGCCGCCTCCGCTCGCGCAGCCTCCGCCCGCGCCGCCTCCGCCCGCGCCGAATCGCCAGGACTCTGTCCGTCCTCCTCGTCGTCGTCATCGTCCTCCTCCTCCATCGCTTGCTGCAGCGCCGCCTGCCGCGCCGCCTCAAGCTCGCGGATCTCCTCGTGCTCCTCCTCCTCGCCGTAGCCTGCCGCTCGCCTTGTTGTGGCGCGCGCGGCGCAAGCTCGCCCGCAGTGCGCAAGCATGAACGGGCGGTTGCTCTCGCACTCGCCTCGCGACGCCCACCCCGGGCAGCGCTCGTCCTCCGTCCCGGACTTCTCCGACGGCGCGTTCGCTGCCGCGGCGGTCGACGCCTTCGCTGGCGAAGATGCCTTTGCTGCTGCAGCCGCCGCTGGCGTCGGAGCGGCCTTCGGGGTTGCCTTGGCGCCCGCGGCTGCCGCCGCCGCCGCCGCGGCTCCCTTTGCCACCGCCGGCTGGGAGTTGGAGGCCCTCATATCTGCGCACGTCGCGGCGCAGTGCGACGCCATGAAGTCGGGGTTCCTGTCGCACTCGCCCGCGTTTGCCCACTTGACGCATCTGCCGGCGTCTACGCCGGCCGCGACCTCCGCCGCCGCCTGCTTCGCCGCCAGCGATCGTCCCGATGCTTTCCTCCCGGCTCGCTCTCCCGCCAACCGCCTCCTCGCTGCGTCGCGTGCGCCTCCCTCTGGAGCGCCTCCCGCGCTAGCCCGACGCGCCTCCTCGGGGCTGATGGCCCTGAGCCTGAAGCCCTGCCAGTAGAAGAAGCAGCTGGCGCCTCCCACGAGGGCGGCAAAAAGCAGCACGCGTGCCAGTGTGCACCGCCGGGCGGGCCCCTGGCCCTTCTTGTCGCCGTCCCGAAGCCGCTGGCCAGGCGACTCCGGATCAAAGTCCTCCTGGACAGCCCGAGAAGAGCCCGTCCGTCGGTACACGAGGCTGTCCGATCGAGACCGGTGTGGGTTGCCGTTGTCGTTGAAGTGCGCCGACATCCAGGAACGGGCTCGCCGAGACCTTTGGCCGAGTTTTGGCGAAATAAGAAATCACCAGGGCTCCCGCGGCGATCAACACCGCAACTCCTTTTCTAAAAAAAGCGAGCACAATTGCGTTACATGGGCATGGCCGGGGTTTCTGCACCGAACGATCTTACTTTCGGTGAAAGTGTTGATCGATAAGAATTTTTCTAGCCTCACAGCAGACAAAACAAAACAACTCTCTCTCTCAGCAGACAGGCTCGAAATCCTGCTCGTGGGGACCCTGTCCTCGTCCCATCCCTCGTTTGGCGTGTCTGTTTTCTTTCTTTCTTTCTTTACAGGCTCGACACAGGTGCGAAAATAAGAATTTTATTCTGCAAGAAAGTCGAGTTCGAACTCGGCTTCGCGATCGCGGAGCGACGCGGACGCGCGCGTGTGCGCCTGCGACAAGACGAGACGAGCCGAGCCGGCGGCGGCGGCGGCGGTGGTGGCGGCGACGGCGGCGCCTCCGAATTTTTGGTAGCGGTCATCGAGATCGCAACTGAGCCCTGGCCTCGACACCTCGACACCAAACCTCGACACCGACTCGACACCTCGACAACCCATGCCAACTCGACAAACTCGACACCCCTCGACACCCCTCGACACCATCTAGGCTGAAACCATGCTCGTCCGTGTCAAGGTGCCAAACTCGACACCTCGACACCCCTCGACACCCCTCGACACCCCTCGACAGGCCTCGACACCCCTCGACACCGCTCGACACCGCTCGACACCGCTCGACACCGGGCCTCGACACCTCGACACCAGGGCTCAGGATCGCAAGCGGTGTGACGCTGACACCCGGTTCGGGCGAGCGTGGTGCGTCGAGCCAGTCGCAGCGCATCCACCACAGGGGGGGGTGCAGCTTTGTGCAAAGCAGCGTCAAGTGCATCCACGGGCCGTGTGCTGAGGTAGATCGTCTCGGCGGGCTCGAGGGTACGAAGGTCGGGGTTCGTTCCACCTCACGGAGGCTCCATGTCGGTGTTATTCACACCGGCCAAGAGCGGGAGCGCCAGAGAGAAGACAAAAGGCAACATGTAGCAAAGCTCTCTCTAACGCCGCGGTCAAAAGAGACAAAAAAAAGAGACCGACGGACCTTGAATTTCGGCGGCGCCGAAATTCACACAAGACTGTGAACACACCCACAGGACGCCGAGTACAAGACAATAGGAAGGGAGTGTACTCAGGCAGTCAGGGACGGATGAGTCAGAAATACTAAGAGCACCTAAAGGAGCAAGTCATAGCTGTGAAGTGGTTTCCACCGACAATACCCTACTTCCCCCTTCTGACGGCGAGCAAAACACGCCTCAGCCGAGCGTGGACGCCAGACACTGTGGACGAGACACTTGACCGCGCAGCGGCCGCTCCACTGCGCAACCTTCGTCCGGCATGGCGGCCGCCGCGCTATGCGACGGCGATGTCAAGATGGTCATCTGGGATCTGGATGGCACACTGTGGCGCGGCACGCTCGACGAGGCCGACGCTGACGATGACCTTGCCGACGGCTCTCTCGCGCCGCTCATTCGTCTGCTCGCTCAGCGAGGCATCGTGTCGTCGGTCTGCTCGTTCAACGACGAGGAGCGCGCTTGTGCGGCGCTGCAGCGGCTCGGCGTGTGGGAACTCATCGTCTTTCCCGCAATCTCGTTCGACTCGGCCTTCTCCAAGCCCGCCGCCATCCGCGCCACGCTCTCCGCGGCCGGGCTGTCTCCCGCCAACGCGCTCTTCTGCGACGACGAGCCGCGGCACCGTGCGGCAGCCGCCGCCGCGCTGCCCGGCCTGCTGACGTGCGCTCCTTCGCTCCTCCCGCCAGAGTCGGCCCTGAGACGGTGCGGCAGCGCCGACCCGGGCTGCTCCCGGCTGCAAAAGTACCGCCTGCTCGAGGCGCGGCGGCGGGCAGAGGCGGCGGCCGTGTCGCAGGCCGGGGCGGGTGACGCCGCTGCGCAGCGATTCCTCGACAGCTGCGAGGTGGTTGTGCGGCTGAGGCCGCTGCGGGGCGCGAGCGACGAGGCAGCTCGACGGACGGAGGGGAGTCACCCTTACCACGAGTAGCCCGCGACACGTCGACGGCGCTCCTATAGGACCTCGTCCGGCTCGTGGCGCTGACGCAGTTTCCTGGAACCTTCCTGGAACCTTCCTGGAGCCTTCCTCCTAGGACCTCGACCGGCTCGTGGCGCTGACGCAGCGGACGAACCGGCTCAACTACACGCGGCGGAGGCGAGGCTGCCGCTGGGGGCGGACCACCCTGCACCTTCCCGGAGCCTGCACGGAGCCTTCCGTAGCATGCCCGCAGGCGGGGCTGGTACTGGGAGCTGCTCGAGCGCGACACGGACCTACTCGCGCCAGACCGCGCGGGAGGCGGGCGGGGCGGCGGGCTCGAGAGCTTCACGTGGAAGGTGTACGTGTCGGACAGGTTCGGAGAGCACGGCCTGGCGGGACTCGTGGCCGTCCGGCGCGGCGCGCTGCGCCACTTTCTTTTTTCGTGCCGCCTGCTCGGGCTCCACGTCGAGGACGCCTGAGATATGGGGAGATGTGGGGAGATGTGGGGAGATGTGGGGAGATATGGGGAGATACGACCTGCTCGGGCTCCGCGTCGA